CTGGATGACATAAATAGCATAAAGGAATTTGTGATAGCATCCACAAGAGGCAAATATCTATTAAACATTATTTTACCTGACAATAAGTTCTAAAATAACACAACAGTATTAACAAGAGCAATACAATTACTGAATAAAATTCAAAATTTTCTAATAGTTCCTTTTGCTTTTAGATTGTATTCCACTAATGATATGCTGTCATTATTTGTTCAAGAGTCACAAAATTACTCCCTTTCTGTGGCTATTACTTATCTGATGAACAGTTTGATTCAATTATTTCAGTTTGCTTTGTTGTTGGCATTTTAGCAGCTGATAGTTCTAAGTTCTTAAAGGTTGTGATTTTCAGCTGCTAGATGATAGAAAATATGTCAACAGCTGTCCAAAATTCTGCACAACAATTTAATTTCAATTATGTGATCTACTTGCATTTTATAACTGATTGAGGACGGAATTATAAGCACAAGATTCATATGTATACTCTCTCCTGAATAAGCTAATTCTTCGCTTATTAAAGTCCAGTAATATAAAAATGCATGTACTTTCATAGATTCAGTATTTTTTTAAAAAATTGCTAAATACTATCTTGACCTTTCAAGCTTTTAAAATTTTGCTCCTTTTCCCAAGCTATGAAAGGATGAATTATACAATGTGTAATGTTATGTATTGTCATACCAAGGATAACAGATCTAAAGGAGTCTCCCAATTAGCATCAGCTTTACCCCAATACTGATTTTTTCACTTTCTTTATGGGTTAAGGAGATAGTTGGTACCTTCAATCTATGGACACTTTATGATTAGCAAAGAATAATGTAAGTGCAGGGTCTTTAGGTTCGCTCTAATGTTCATGGGTAAAAATGTTCAAGGATAAAAACATATACATGTTTTACATACAAACATAAAAGCATATATGTGAACTTATATGAATATATAAATTTTTACTTGTGTAAATGCAGTACAAAAGTCCAAAATGTTTTGGATGAATAGCTATGGTTTTAGTGCTGCAAAAATTCAAGCTTCCCAAAGTCAAGCCATGATTTCATAAGATTGAGTACATGGAGATTGAGTACATATAACAAGAAAATATAATAAAAAGACAATACCTATTAATACCAGTAATGACAACTTTAAACTCTACCCAAAGGTTCAAATGGAAAATTTTCTATAAATTCATATAATTTCCAGAGTACCTTTGTTCTCACAGAATCAGCTCATTAGACAGTTTATAGTAACCGTCTATAACTGTATTCTCACATTTCACATAACATGAACTTTGCATGAAGTTTAAATACTTAATTTTAATACAGAAATCTAAATTATTGCACAGATTCAAGTATCATGCCTCAAATTTCAAATTTTGCATTCATTTATCACACCAGAATGAAACACACTCTAAATTTTTTTTCTAGGGTCTGAAGTCCTACTGCTTCTGGGGCTTAATCTCTTATTAAAGGAATTTAAAAGGTGATTCTTAAGAGCAGAAACAAAAAGATGAGGCCTCAGAGAAGGAAGCTCTGAAGACATGGGTGATTTAAGTTTATGTGCACAGAGATTGCTGAAGTTTACATGGCCACCTTTCTTCACAGAACCTACAGTTTCACCAACATGGTCTAGAAGAACTTGTTTTATTTACGAGATGTGAGGGTTTGGTGTTTAGCGTGAGTGCTTTGAAAGATAACTAGAAAATCTCCTCCCTGTTAGTTTTTCCCTTCAAAGTTCTCAACGTGGGGCCTCCCGGGTGTTGCAGCGGTTGAGCGCTGGGCTGCGAAGCTGCCTGCAGCCTCTGCAGCGCTGGTTCGATCCCAGGCCGCCAGGCGAGGGTCCCACAGACCTCTCCTGCCGCCAGCTGCTCCCCTCAGCTGTGTACTTCGTCAGTCTGCCTGCTCTGCTCTCCCCTCTGGCTCTGGTGAATTCTCTCACCCTCCCGCGCTTCTGACTGTACCTCGTGGTTGTATAAATAAATAAATAAATCTTCAAAAAAAAAAAAGAATACAAAGTTTTCAATGTGTTTTGCTACTCCTCCTGGGTCATCAGTGAAGGTGCTCTAAAGCCAGCAAGCACAGGGAAGGTTCACTATTGATTCAGGCAGATGGGTAGAGAGAAGTCCTGGAGCCCTTAGTGGATTTTTCAGGCTTTAAGGCTCTCAGAGAGCCAGGTACACAGGCACACCAGACAGGGAATCTGGCATGCGAGGAGGAAGGCACGGGCTGGGCGGGACAGGGCGTGCTGGGAGGCAGACAGGCAACTAAGCCTCCCAGCTCCCCCTATTCTCATGACTCTTTACTCTTTCTTTGGGCTCTTTGGCATTCTCTGTCTTGCCTCTCCTGTAGTCACTCATCCTCTTGTAACCATGCTCCTGCTGTGAGGATGCCACCCTTATAGGCCTGACCTCTAGGCTCAGAAGCGCATTTACGCATGCGCACACACCCATGCTCCAAGTGTCCACAATCAGGCATGCGTGCCCCAAGCCCATGCTCCCAAGAGCCCTCTGCATTAGCACAATCAAGCTGGCAGGTTGTAGCCTCTGTGGCTACAGAGGCTAGTGGTGCAAAAAGCCTGATTAATTCCATTCGCCCTACTTGGCAATCAAGGATTTAGATTTTCTTTTGTAAGCCTCATCTTCTCACCCATGACATCTGACCAACGTATGATTAAGTTTTCTCTCAAGATGATTCCAGGGAAAACTAATTTTGGGTGATTCTGGTAGGCTAGATCCATCTCCCAACATACTTTTGAGCTTAAGTATAATATAAATTGGTCCAGGAGCAAGTCTTCCTTCCGGAGTCATGGCCTGAGATGCACCATAAAAAAGTGAATCTTGGGCCTCCCTGGTGGCGCAGCGGTTGAGCGCTGGGCTGCGAAGCTGCCAGCAGCCTCTGCAGCGCTGGTTCGATCCCTGGCCACCGGTGAGGGTCCCGCATGGTGCGCAGACCTCTCCTGCTGCGCCCTCTGCTCCCCTCAGCAGTGTACTTCATCAGTCTGCCTGTTCTGCTCCCCACTCTGGCTCTGGTGGATTCTCTCACCCTCCAGTGCTTCTGACTGTACCCAGTGCTTGTATAAATAAATGAACCTTAAAAAAAAAAAAGTGAATCTTGGCTAGAGATAAAAACAAAGCCCAAAGGGTGGTTAAGTAACACAAATATGGGCCTCCCCTGTGACGCACATCGGTTGAGCACTGGGTTGCGAAGCTGCCCGCGGCCTCTGCGGCGCCGGTTCAATTCCCGGCTGCTCCCTGGCCACCGGAGGAGGGTCCCACATGGCGCGCTGAACCTCTCCTGCCGCCCGCTGCTCCCCTCAGCAGTGTACTTCGGTCCTTCTGCCTGCTCTGCTCCCTGCTCTGGCTCTGGTGAATTCTCTCACCCTCCCGCGCTTCTGACTGTACCCAGTGCATGTATAAACAAAACAAACAAACAAACAAATAAATAAAATAAAACATGCCTCTATTAAAAAAAAAAAAAAAGTAACACAAATATGCTGTGGTCCTCACCAGAAAAGTTGCAAGATTTCCTGAACTCTGCAGGGCTCAGAACAGAGGAAACTTGGGCACCAGGAGTTCCTCAGAAGCCTAGGAGATGGGAGGCCAGATGGGAGATGTCAAGTCATCGAATGGCCTGTGTCCTCTGTACAGTAACCCACCTCTCCTGACCCAAGACTCTGCAGTGCTTCAGACACCATATAATTGAAATTTTCTGAAATATGACTTGTTTAGTAAAAAAATTTGTCTGGAGAAAGATTGAGGGGTGTATTCATCAGCCTGAAGTCAGGTGATAATCACCTCAGGTCACAACACACTAGTTTTCTTTATGCAGGAGTATATTCCAAGATCCTAGCCATCCTGATTCTAACAAATTATTTTAAGATATGAGAGGAAGAGCCTGTGCTCTCAAATTTATTTTATACATTTGAAGAGCAATTCAGAAGTTTTAAAATGGGAGAAACCTATATTTGAAAAAAGATACAAATGTACATTTTTAAATCAAGGAGAATCAGTAAACAAGGTGAAGTGTTTGTGTATGACTGGAGATTCACCAATTTGAAAATGGAGGCACAAGATTTATTTTTTAGCTTAACCCCAGTATAATATTAATCCTTCTAAATGAAAGTTTATAAAGTTTGTCGGGAAGTGACAAACTTCTTTGAGTAGGGGGAAGGATTTCATTTCCTTCATCCCATTATGAGAAAAATATCTAAATCAGTACTCAATAACACACATAGCAATGGCAACTTGTTCCAGAGATTAACTACCATTTTTCTCAAATTCCCTTTCCTCTTTTACCGCAGTACAACCAGTCACATAGTTCTGCCTCAGCTTCCGCGGATACATACCATGCAGCCACTTACTGTTAGTAAAGGTAGCTATGTTGTAGAAAGTCACCACAAAATCTGGATCAATGAATAATGAACCACTGTTCCTAGAGGACATACAAGGCTAGGTTCTAGAAGCCTCTGGTCACATTTTTGCCAACCTATCAATAGGTTTTTGATTCATTAACACTGAAAGCATAGCCAAGAATACTATAACTCATGCCAGAATGAAGCTCATCTCAGGCAGGTACACGACAGCTTTCTTGTGCTTAGGAATATGACAGCACTTCAGTATGACACTCGCGGGCCATTTTAATATGAAATCACCAACAAAAACGAGATAAAACATGGTACTAAGTAGATGACAAAAAGGGTGCTTGTTTATAAGAGATGAATCAAGAATAGTGTTGTGTGTTTGATCTAGTTGGGAATAGGTGCCTCAGATTTTTCACCACTTGGTGTAAGTTCAAATACAGCATCAAAAAAATTTTATATACTTCAGATGTATATACTTTATATGTATAATTATGAAATTAAATAGCATGCAGAATATATTAAATTATATATTGATATATATAACCTAAGTATGTTTTAAAAATGGCATCAAAAAGCAGAGAATATTGATTTTAAGGTTACAACTGAAATTTTAGTTAAGTAGGCATATTTGCAAATCTGGTTAGTGAATAATGAGGATCTGCTGTCTATAATTTTTAATTCGTCACTGTGACTAGGAAGTAGCAGTTGCCTAAACAGGTCTGGGAAGTCAGGAAAAAGAATCTAGTTTAAATTGGTAACTCTGAGCTACGGGATCTGGGGCTTGAAGTAGTGGGTCCGCCAACATGTCCCGCAGGTCCAGTGCTGGTTTTGACCGTCATATTACCATTTTTTCTCCCGAGAGTCGGCTCTACCAAGTAGAATATGCTTTTAAGGCTATTAACCAGGGTGGCCTTACATCAGTAGCTGTCGGAGGGAAAGACTGTGCAGTAATTGTCACACAGAAGAAAGTACCTGACAAATTACTGGATTCCAGCACAGCGACCCACTTATTCAAGATAACTGAAAACATTGGCTGTGTCATGACAGGAATGACAGCTGACAGCAGATCCCAGGTACAGAGGGCACGCTATGAGGCAGCAAATTGGAAATACAAGTATGGCTACGAGATTCCCGTGGACATGCTGTATAAAAGAATTGCTGATTATTTCTCAGGTCTACACACAGAATGCTGAAATGAGGCCTCTTGGGTGTTGTATGATTTTAATTGGCATAGATGAAGAACAAGGCCCTCAGGTGTACAAGTGTGATCCTGCAGGTTACTACTGTGGGTTTAAAGCCACTGCAGCAGGAGTTAAACAAACTGAGTCAACCAGCTTCCTTGAAAAAAAAGTGAAGAAGAAATTTGATTGGACATTTGAACAGACAGTGGAAACTGTGATTACATGCCTGTCTACTATTCTGTCAATTGATTTCAAACCTTCCGAAATAGAAGTTGGAGTAGTTACAGTTGAAAATCCTAAATTCAGGATTCTTACAGAAGCATAGATTGACGCTCACCTTGTTGCTCTAGCAGAGAGAGACTAAACATTGTAGTTAGCTTACCAAATTCATGACGCCACTTGCCTGTGTGTTTGGTAACAACGGATCAACATTATGGAGGCCCCTGAACTGAAAAAAGAACCTCTCCCATTCCTCCTGCTGCTGAAGTGGTTAGGACTCTGTATAAATAAAAACTGTGCTTTTGGGGAAAAATAAATAAATAAATAAATAAATTGGTACCTCTGAAATCTCAACGAACTGCAGTAAAATGGCATCCTACATGGCTAAGATTTAATACACATCACTCAAAAAGTGATTAATTTCACTTTAGTTTTTATTTTATTGGAAAACATGAGGCGGGATGATTTAGCATCTCAGAATCAGGTTCATATTCCAACTTAATGAAAACTTAGTTTATAATCTTCTCAAAAGCCTGTGAAATTAGTTCTTAAATGTCTCAACCAGAATTTTATCTTTTCAAATTAAATAAGCAAATAACTGGGTTCATAATTTACATTACCTATCATTTTTCCCCCTATATTAAACCTCTGCTACAGTTTATACCAATTCAATACTTAATCCTTTCAAGTAAGTTAGGGTTTATAAAATTGTTTTCAGTTTTCTTCCTTTGACTAAACATACTGCTTACAGTTTTCTACTCATTAGTCTGTATTCTAGACTTTTTTTTTTAAAGGCTTTTTAAAAAAGATTTATTTATTTATACATACAAGAACTGGGGTATAGGCCAGAGTTGTGGAGGGTGAGAGGATTCACCAGGGACAGAGTGGGGTACAGAACAAGCAGACTGATGAAATACACTGCTGAGGGGAATAGCAGGCAAGTCAGGAGAGGTCTGCTGCACCACATGGGTTGCTCCCTGGCCTGCCAGGGATCAAACTCATGCTGCAGAGGCTGCGGACAGCTTCACAGAGCTGCACTCAACCGCCTGCACCACCGGGGAGGCCCTGTGTCCTAGACTTTTTAAATTAAAAAAAAAAAAAAGAAAGGAATGTACACTTTCTGTATTCTTTCACAGAAAATAAGGCTGAGAGGCAATATCACTGGCCATATTAGGTATTGTCCTACAAATATGAATTACTCTACTCATGGATCTCAAATCTAGTTTTTAAAATCATATGTGATCTCATCATCAACATGTGCGTTGATTAGAATAAAAGTTCTTTACCAGGAGTTGCCAGAGGCCTTCAGAAGGATCAGTGAAGGCTCCCATGTTGTGAATCTCAGGCTTTTTTGAAGAGAAAACCATAGCTTTCCCAGATGTTCCAATGGGTCTATGACCTTTCACACATCCAAAATTCTAAGAATCACTTCATTGGGCTATCCTATTTTTTAAAACTGTAACATCATTTAACAGTATTTAACTTCATTTAGTTTTCTGTTCTCCAAGTTCAGGCATCTTTAGCCAGAAAGAGCTAGACTTTGATACTCTTACTATACAATTAAACACACTACCCTTTGGTGGGTGCACTACAGCAACAATGCCTGAAGGGGGGATCCTACACTTCTATTATGAAAGCGATGATGTAAAGCAATATTTACTCAATAAAAAAAATTTTTTAAAAACACAAAAAAATCATTACCTTTCTAGCATTTTAAATATTTTAAGCATTGTAAAATACATCTGGATTTTATCTTAACCCAATGTACTTCACAGAGTTCATGATTTTAAATAAAGGCAATTAAATCATATCTGAATTTCTAGATCTTCTAAGTATATGAGATGGTAGCAACACTTGTTTGAAAATCACTGTATGTCATTTTCTTGAAATGAATTTTGTATGAAAGGCAGCAAAGAGGTCCTTGTAAGGAGTGTCTGAATCTAACTTAGTTGACGGTATTCGGCAAAATTGGCGAAACCCAGGAGAGCGAAGCAGCAAGTTCTGTGAAAGTCCCATAATGCTGGAGCACAGCCAGTAGAGAACAATCGACTGTAAAGACAAGAAAGGACATGTGTGTTAGCACCTCTCCATTCTCCAAGGATGCCAAGGTCCAAAAATAGGGAAGCAAAGGAAATAAAAATTACAATCACTGTAAATAAAAGCCTAATGAGACTGAATAAGAACTACAGGGGCTATCTGATATCTGTAACTAATCCAATAGGTAATAAGAAAAAGGTTGAAGGAAGACCAAAAAGCAAAAAGAAAGCAAAATGAGAGGTATTCGTAATTAGAATGGTAGAGAACAATTTCCAGGCTGATACCCAAGAGAGAAATCACTTCACATCTTTGCCAACTACATATATTTTCTCCCCTACCAGGAGTCCTGACAAGGTGCTACATTGATAGGCTCCTGGGAGCACAGCCATTTATGATAGCAAATTTAGCCTCCCTAAATCACATTTCCCCCCACAGTCATTTATCTTTCAATTTTTTTCCAGTCACTACACATAATCAGAAATGCATTATCTTTGCCTTTTTCTGAGACAAATAGTCTTAGAGTTATCTTCAACTTTCTTTTATATTCCTATCCAGATTGCTTTTATTTAAGTCACTAAGTTCAGTAGCCTCTCAAAACATCCCCATACATACAGGGGATGTATGTGTTCCAAACTGTCACTGGATCAAAAGGTTATCAAGCCTAGAGGCAAGACCAGGTGGAGGTTGAATCTAGGTACTGGAGTCAAACAACCTGAATACAAATTCCATTTATTTGACTTTGTGCAAGTTACTTTTCCTGTTTCAGTTTCCTCATCTATAAATGGATATAGGCTTTTCTGCAACTGTAAAGCTGGAGAGAGCCTACCTGGTCCGAGGATATCAAATCTCTGCCCCCCAGCCCTTTGATCCTCCCCAGAAGTCCCTCAATAAAATGATTTGATTCCCTGCAACTAAATAAAAAATATAATAGGTGCAGAACTCTATCTATGTACCTTAAAGGGTTGTTATGAGGAACAATGGGGTAATTTTTGTAGTCATAAGCACAGTAAATAGCCCATATTAAGCACTTGCATTTGTTCCAATGCAAATGTTTAAAGCAAAAATTAATACATTCTTACAAGAAGATTAGCACAGCAATTAAGCTCAAGAACTAAATTACTTGGAGTACGTGAAGACTGCCACTTAATAGAGGAATGATTTCAGTTTTCTCATCACTACAGTGGAGGTTATAATAGCATCTTCTTAGATGCACTGTTGAGAGAATTATATGAGCTAATATATGTAAAATATTTCAAACGCCTGACACAAAGTCTATGTTGAACAAGTATTAGCTATCACCATAATCTCACTTATCTGCGAAGCAAAAAGTATCCAAATTTGCAGACTATAAGCTGCCTACTAAGTATCATTGCTCCTTAAAAAGAAAAAAATCCTTATTCTCAGCTCAGTATGCTGGCTTTCTAAAAACAAACAAAACTATTATTTGCCATCCTCCGCTGCAGATAGGTGTGGCCAAATAACTACAATATAAGCACAGGTGTCTGATGGGACATCTACCAAGGCTCCCTATAAGAGGTTGATGACTGCACTTGATGCACCTTTTTATATTCTTGCAAGATAACAGGTTCCAGCAATCATCATGACCACATAGTGATCTTATGACAGAAATTACAGACTGTAGATTAAGGATTAGGAAGAGAGAAATAGGCTGGTTCTCTCATATCTTCATGTAGCTGTCTTACCAAATTCTACACTAAGCAGCCTAATGCTGAATTTCTTATACTTTTGGGTATTAAAGACACTATTTTTCATATCTCTATTACTTTCCACTCAATTCCTCACTAAAACTTCATAATCCCTGTTTTATTTGATTTGGGGGTTTCCTCAGTCATAGTTAACATTATTTCCCCCCATAAATATACTGAATGTATTGTTTTACATTACATGAAAGTATGCTAACAGGCACATGGTACAACACATGATACTATTTCATCAATTCTCACAAACATTATGATGTTTATTTTACTTATTTTACACAGGATTAATGGCAATATTATGTCCAAATAACAGCTTTTAATACATGTTGCTATGACTCTGCCAGTTACAATGAATTATACTTTATGATCTATGTATTGGTTCTGACAGTTTTTATCCTCAACACTAAAGTATCCCTGGGAAATAAATAAAATGCTAAAAATATGAATTAACTATAGTTAAAACCATTTCCTTTTCTATACAAGTTTAATTATTAATATTACCCAAAGTCCCTTGGCATTTTTCACAAAAATAGAACAATCAATTCTAAAATTTCATCTGGAGCCATGAAAGACCTGATTAGCCAAAGCAACTGAGAAAGAAAAAGTCAGAGACATCAAACTCACTGATTTCAAACTATATTAGAAAGCTACAATAATCAAAACAATATGGAATTGCCATAAAAACACACACAGATATCAAAAGAACAGAATAAAGAGCCCAGAAATAAACCCAAACATATGTAGTCAATTAGTTTACGACAAGGAACCATGATTATACAATCAAAAAAGGACAGTCTCTTCAATAAATAATGTCAAAAAAAAAAAACAACAACTGAACAACTACATGCAAATGCAAAAGAATGAACATGGACCATTATCTTACACTATACACACAAATTAACTCAAGATAGGTCAAAGATCTGAATGTAAGACTAGAAACCATAAAACTCCTACAGAAAACATAGGTGATAAGTTCCTTGACACTAGTGTTAATGATGTTCTTTTGGATGTGACATCAGAAACAAAGGCAATAAAAGCAAAAATAAATAAGTGGGACTATATCAAACTAAAAATGTTCTGTAGAGCAAAGGAAATCATCAACACAATGAAAAACCACCCATAGAATGGGATAAAACATTTGCAAGTCATGTACTAAGGGAATTATGTTCATTAAAATTAAATCAGAGAAAGATGGTACATACCATATGATCTCCCTATATGTGGGATCTTAAAACAAATGAAAACATCCCTTACCTAAACCCTGACTCATGGACTCAGAGAACAGACTGGAGGCTGCCAGAAGCAGAGGTGGAATGAGTAAAATGATTCAAAAGTAGTGACTTACAGCTTTACATGGTAATGTAATGCACAACACAATATCTATAGGTACATACACTGATTGTGTATCGGGAAGTTGCTAAGAGAGTAGACAAAAAGTTCTCATCACAAAAAATTTTGTCACTATATATAGTGATATATGCTAACTACACTTATTGTGGTAACCTCTGTGCGCTATATGTAAATATTGAATCACTATTTTGTACACTTGGAACTAATGTCATGTCAATTATATCCATGAAAAAAATTAATTATATATAAATGGGGACATGTGCACTTATCTCACAAGGTTGCTATAAGGTAAAATAATACATATGAATCTATATGGACTTGGCACTAAGTTTTGTGTCTTTTTCAAGTGCTAAATTCCTTGGCCCAATCTATGTAACAGAATTCAATTTATTAACTAATCAAAAAGCAAATACAATACTAATGGTGCTTTTGCAAGAGTTTTAAAAAAGGAAAAAAGAATTTGTTTTAGTAGGAAAGATAAGACACATTAACATAAAGGAATATTAACAAATCTCAAGTAGTATTCTAGTGTCACATGGTGATGAAGATAGCAAAATAGTCACAATGGAAACTCAGAAACCAGTAAGAAACTAAGTAATAAGTGGAAGCTGAACAGAAGAAGCAGGATCCCAGATAAATTAAGCTAAGTGCTAAAAGAATTTAGTACATGCTAGACACAATGCTGGTGTTTACTCACTGAAGGTACTGTTGCAGCAATTGGAATCATCAGCACTGATACCACACGGACAAAATATGTAATATATGTCTGAAAACGAGACATTCCAATCTTTTGCAAAGCAAAAATCTGAAGGGGTAGAATATATAGACATACAATGATTACTAAAACATATTAAATTATATATGATTTAAAATACAAACTGATCTTTGACTGGTACCAGTTTATATTTTAATAAAAGCAAAAAAGAATTAAAAATCAAACACTGAAAAATTTATGCTTGATTGATGATCAAACCTATCTTTCTAAAAACTTTGAACAATTCTTAAATGGAATTTTAATCAATAGCAATAAAGAAATTCAACCATGTAAAAAACAATCAAAGCATAATTTTTACTAATTAGCATGTTTTAAAGATTGTCCATAAAATGAAAAGTTCCTTCAAGATAAGTACTACATATTAATCTTTACCCTTGTTTTTTGGCACATAAATACAGTGGCTGGCATAAAGAAGGAACTTAATAGATATTTCATAGGCTTATGATCTGGCTACATGAAATAAGGGAAAGAATCAAGACTATGAAAAGCAGCTATAATTTATGAATTACTGATTTAAGATGCAGCATAACATAATGGATGTGAGCACTGACTCTAGACACAAACGAGGTTAACATGAAAGCCTTGCACTAGTGGTTATGTAAATGCACAATTACTTAATTTTTCAGTGCCTCACTTTCTCTACCTTAAAATGGGAATAATAGTAGTACATACATCACAGGATTAAGAATTAAATGAGTTAATTTATATAAATTGCATATAATAATGCTTGGCACATAGTGTATAGTAAGTATAAGTTTTTATTAGACTGCTGGCTTGTTAGGGCATTAAAGAAAGATTAGAATATTGACATTACTTTATTATAACCTTGGGTTTATCACTTTCATTTTTTGACACTAAGTTCCAACTCTGTTCATTGGACTAGACTGAGTGCTTAGGGAAACAAATTTAAACTACAAATGGAGTCTTTCCTCAAGAAACTTACAGTGCCTCCCTGGTGGCACAAGGGGTTAAGCACCGCACTATGAAGCAATCCGTAGCCTCTGGAGCATGAGATCAATCTCTGGCCGGCCAGAGAGAAATCCACATGGTGCAGCAGACCTCTCCTGTCTTGCCCGCTGCTCCCCTCAGCAGTGTATTTCAGTCAGTCTGCCTGTCCCCACTCTGTCTCTGGTGAATCCTCTCGCCCCCCACATCTCTGGTCTATACCCCAGCTCTTGTATGCACAAATAAATAAATCTTTAAAAGAAAATTAAAGTAACTACCTGTCACTGATGATAAAAAATTAAAAAAAAAAAAAGAATAAAACCAGATTGACTGTGCATCTTAAATACTGTCTTTACCAAGAGCAAATCACAAAATTTACATATTAGAACCACATCATTTTAAAGCTGAAGAGATTTTGGAAGTATTCTATTTCAGCTCATTTATTTTAATTATAAATATTTATGAACTTAAGGAACTGGCCTAAGACAGATCAACAGATGATCTGACATCATCATCAGATGATATCAACTGATGATCTTGGTCCATAAACACCAAGGGGTCTGAGTGATTACTACCAACACAAACACATTTATATTTGATGTTAGAAGAGCAACAACAAAAATCCAAATAAATTAAATAGCAAACAAATCTCACGTGAAATCACTGACCTCCACTATTAATAAATTAATGACACCAACGGAAACCGGTAGAATCCAAGTGGAATCCTGTGCAGTGAGATCAGGGAACCAAAGGACTCCACCAGCAGCTAACTGCTCTTGAATGGAAAAACCTGTTGAAACAGTTTATAGATAAAAGAAAGAAATTTCTAAAAACAGTAGAGGAAAATAAGTATTACATAAGCAATCTGAAAATTTCAATAAGGCATCTCTTATACTAAAGACTTGCATCTGTTTTATTAGACTATTTTCATTCCCTAACAGAAATTAATTCTTCCTGTACTGAGAGTTAGAAGCTTTCTATAGAAAATACACACAGAGCAGAAACAGATGCAGCAATAATCTTTACAAACTTAAATTTAAATAATTATTTGTCCATAGATTTTCTTTCAATTCTATTTAGATTACTTTATGGTTAGAAATGCCTTTATAAGAGGGCCTCCCTGGTGGCGCAAGGGTTAAGCATCGCACTAGGAAGCAATCCACAGCCTCTGTAACACAAGTTTGATCCCCAGCCGGCCAGGGAGCTACCCACATGGTGAAGCAGACCTCTCCTGTCTCGCCCCTCAGCAGTGTATTTCAGTCAGTCTGCCTGTTCTGTTCTCCACTCTGTCTCTGGTGAATCCTCTCACCCCCCACACCTCTGGCCTGTACCCTAGCTCTTGTATGCATAAATAAATAAATCTTAAAAAAAAAAAAAAAGAAATGCCTTTATAAGAAAATAAAAACAAATGATTTCATTTATACAATTTCTGAATTAATGTTTACATTTATAACTGAAAACTTTTCTAGTCTTTTAATTTCACAAATGGAGAAAATTCTTGGTTATGAAACTGAATTCTGGAATTATGTTTTTATGACTTCCAAGAAGCTGTAATACTAATATATTAGTATTCTAATTATGAAATTTATGTCTTTTTTAGGAGCACAAAGACAAAATCAGAGAACTTATTTGAGAGTAACAGAATTCTATAGTAAGTACCTTCTGAATGTGCTGCCCCTGTGCTAAAATTCCGGAGAGCAACAGACATGAAGATCCACATTGGAAGCTGAATCCAGACCAACACAGTGGCTTTGAAAGGGTGGCAATTATCCCGAATATACAGTTCTGAAACAAGCCTCCGCATATTCTTTAGATAAGTGAGCCTAGTTTGAGGGAAGAGAAAAAAAGGGGAAAGGAGAAAATGCCACATGATTTTTAATTTGCTTATACACTAGCACAAATACACTCACATTGTGGATATTGGCTAAATGATTTCTAAAGGCTTTCTTGCTATTACAAGTTATAATAAGGCACTACCTAAACAAATGGTAAATAAAATGTCTTTTGTTGAAAATCCTCTACAATGTATACAAATTATCTAACAATTTGATAAACCAACATCATCAGACTACAGGATTATCTCTTGTGGTCTCTGCCATTAGGTATTAACAGAAACTTTCACTACTGACATGGTATGAACATAATTTACATTAGAAGTACTAAAGTTGTGGGCCTCCCCTGGTGGCACAGCGGTTGAGCGCTGGGCTGCAAAGCTGCCCACAGCCTCTGCAGTGCCGGTTCGATCCCTGGCCGCCAGCGAGGGTCCCACATGGCGCGACAGACCTCTCCTGCCGTGCCCGCTGCTCCCCTCAGCAGTGTACTTCGTCAGTCTGGCTGTTCTGTTCCCCGCTCTGGCTCTGGTGGATTCTCTCACCCACCCCCCACGCTTCTGACTGTACCCAGTGCTTGTATAAATAAATAAATAAATCTTTAAAAAAAAAAAAAGAGTGGAAAGCATATTTTTCTCAAATCCCTCAACTCCACCCCAAACACTGGTGTTGACCTTTGAATACATACTTTTTTGTAGCAATTTGCTTTTATATTGTGTGTGCTCTTGGCCTGTCAAATGGTCCTCATTCATCAATCAACTCTTTCATGAAGATTTTCTTAATCTGTTTCTTTGTTAACTATGTTATTCCTGTTTTTGTCTTAATTTCTTACTTTCTAGACTAAGTCTCCTTATTGGACCTTACTTATCTTTAAGTTTCTTAATAGCCTATTTTGTACAGGTATTCAATAAGTTTGTTACATTTAATAAAATCATAATGTCCCGAATTAAGACAGTATATACAAAGACATTCCCAAATGACTTAAATCAGTGAACAAATCATACTGCCATATCAACATGCCTTTGGAGGTGCTGTGTGCACACCCCACTTTCCTGGCTGTGCATTTAACAAAGTCTCTTTCATCTGTCAAGACTCAGTGCCATCAAAAAATGCAGGAAACTCTCAAGTATCTTCCTAGGAAGCCTCTCCACTGTGTAAGGATATGTCTGGACAATCATCCTGCCAGTGCTGCATAAGCAAGGTGCCACAGGTTTGTCAAGTCTGCATTTATAACCCAGGGAGGGACTATTAATCTGGTAGATTTTGTTTGTTTTTGGCCTAGAGCTGTAGTTTTCTGATAAGTAAAACTTCGTAATTATAGGTACCTGTTCTTGTTTTATATCAACATCACGCTATCATTAGATTTCCCTATGTCAGGTCTTAAAAAACATTAAATGAAGAAAAGCATAATTTCTCATTGAAGATAGTTGGCAAATTTACACCTACATAATTAAAAATGAATGGGTAGCTCCTCCTCCCTGCTCACCTGTGACTATGCAGGTGCCTCTCTTTATCTTCCTCCATTTCCCAATAAACCCGTCCTTATTTGTCTCATTGTTTTGACTGTGAACACTTGTCAGCCTAGTAATGACCAGAATTTAAGAAACTGACAAAGTAAGTAAAAGCACAGGCTGACTCAAGCAGGACTTAGAAAGTCTGGTGGATGCACACAGGATAGTCCAGCACCCTGGGGCAAGGGCTTTCTAAGACCAGGCAGGCACAGGGTAACCACAGTAGGGGAACACCACCCTGGCTATCCAGCTGCTACAACCATGGGTTCACATATCCTCCCTCCTCATCCTTTCGTCTTTTCAAAAACGTCAAGTTTATCTATAACTATATCATTTGTCAACAACATCCCAACAGACTGGCACAGTATCTGCATTTTGTAAAGCTTCCCCTGACTTCTCATAATGACCTAATTCTTATACACAAGCCTTTTTACACTATTTAATACACTGTTAAAATTATTTGGCTACAGGTCTGTCTTATCAGCAGGCAAGAGTCCTTTAAGAATAAGGAATTTGCCTTCATTTTTGTTTCTCTATTTTTCTTTGTCTAGTATATAAAATTATCATGCCACATAAATTAAAATATCTGAGCATATAAGAATTACTCTGCTGCTAAAGCTACAGTTTACATACTAAGTCCATAGTGAATACCAATGCTTACACATTATACATATTGATTTACAATCTTACATACATAAAATTAGCTTACCTGGCAACATTTTTGGACCAACCTAACCGATTTGCATGAACTGCAACTTCTTGGTTAAGATGCCTGGCAATATTTTTTATTTCTGGCTGCAAATTTTCCACCTAGCTAAAGAAAAAGCAGAATTTGGTATGAACACATAAAGGATTAATTCATTACCACTCATGGAATTTTATGCTCTACTCCCTCAAATCATTTAAAATTGTGTTCTCTGATATCAAGAAAACTTCATGTAAAGCTCACTGCTTTCACGGTGCTGACTCCCTTCCCGCTTCCTTTTTTTAACCCAAAGATAATCTGAAAACATGAAAGTGATTATTTTCTTAAGTCTCATGCTTGAACCATACTTTGTTTTCAAAGCTCTTTAATCCATACCATCTGATTTTATCTCATAACATTGTGAAACAGGGCAGGAAGGATTACTGTGCTGATTCTACAGGAAAAATTAAAAAAACACCGAAGGTGCGAGTAGCCCAGCCTGCATGAGAAAAAGAGTTTCCAAACTGCTAATTAAGTTTTCTTCCAGTAAGGAAGAGGAGCTGGCCTAGTCGGGCACGAAGGATGATGCGGTTACACAGGCTGTTACAACTTTTAAAACGACAGTTTCACAGGTTTCCTCGTACATTTTCTCTTGTGAGCTGTTGCTCACCTTCTCGTTCTCTACCTGCAAGCTTAATAACACGTAAGCTTTGACCACAGATCCAGTAGCGTCAACGAACATCTCTCATGTCCCGCACCTAAAGGCAGTTAAACAACTTAATAATAAAGTGGTCGCGGAGACCCACACGGAACTTTCCGGAAGCGCCCGGGGATTTGACGTCCCCGCAGACGCCGACGGCCGCTTCCCACCGCGGAGGCAGCGCAGGGTGGGCGCGCGGCCCGGCGCCCCTCACCTTGGCCAGGATGTAGTGCTGGTAGGCGGCCAGGGGCAGCGTGACGGCAGCGCGCAGCGCCACGGTGGTGAGGAGGATGGTGCCCCACCAGGGCAGGCCTGTGGCCGCGTGCGCTCCGAGCAGCACCGTCTCCGCGCCCTGCACCGGCGCCGACGCGGCCAGCGCTTCATACCAGCCGCCCGCGCCGCCTGGGCCAGCGGCGGAGACTGAGGCCACTGCCCACGCCGGCAGAGCGGAACGTTTAACGTCGCCCGCTGGGGCCAGCTGAAGTGGGGGGCCCCGTGCCTGGAGTTGCAGAGCAGGCACTGGCCGCAGACACCGAATGCCCAGCCGGAGAAGCATGGCTGCTCCAGGGCAGGGGCCAGGTCGCCCGCCTGGCAGAGCCGAGGAGCGCGCCGCTCAACGGGGGGCGCCCCGCGCAAGCTCCGGAGTCCCTACGCAATGAGCGGGCGCACCGCAGCCCGTAGCCCCAGTTGACCTTACAGGTCACGCTAGTTGCGTCTCAAGTCGCTCTGATGATGACGCACAAGACAGGCAAGTCCCACCTTTCCCACGCGGCACTGGGCTGGCCTACGGCGCACCACAAAGCGTTCTGGCTGCAGGCGAGGAGACTCGCGGGGGCGGGACCGGAATTGCAGTGCCAAGGGCGGGTTCTGCAGCGGCGAAGCTGGACGTTTGTCCTGCAGGGAGCTCTCCGTTTTAAAGTCCCTTCCATGGGCCTCCGCCATGGGTGGTGCAGGCGGTTGAGTCTCAGCACTGTGAAGCTATCCGCAGCCACTGCAGCACGACTTTGATCCCTGGCCAGGGAGCTGACCCACATGGTGCAGCAGACCTCTCCTGTCTGGGCCACTGCCCCCCTCGCAGTATATTTAAGTAGATCTCTTCTGCTCCCCACTCTGTCTCTGGTGAATCTTCTCTCTCTCTCTCTCTCTCTCTCTCTCACACACACACACACACACACACACACACACACACACGCTGGCCTGTACCCTAGTTCTCATATGCATAAATAGATAAAATAAATCTTTTAAAAAATAAAATAACAAAGTCCCCTTCATAAGTGCCATTTCATTCTTTTTCATCGGAACTAATGTGTGGTTGATTAAGCTTGGTGGGCAGTTTTGTAACCAGTGGGTGTCCCCCGACTCTTCTGTGCACCGAATTTCTTCCACTGGAGATTGAGATTATGTTATCCAAGAGTCAACACGTTGCTGAAAATCCAGGTTTGAGAGAGGCATGTGTTTCTTCTGACTGATCTTCCTTAAAGGCACTAGATAGAGTTCAGCCTGTTGTGTAAAGATATAATTTGCTCCTCTCTTACCAGTCAACCCCACATGTGAAATGTTTCTTTAATGTTTTATCTTTCACTGTAGATACCTGCAAAAATCTTGTAGCATCCCCTTCAGCCTTTTCTTTGGAATGGTGACAACAGAGTCCTGAAGTACGTGCTGGACACCACGTTAGTGGCCTGTGGGTATTGGTCAGTCCAGAAGTTTTCACCTCTTCTTCACACCTCTGTTCCAACCACATACAATTCTTTGAAGGCGTTCTTCATTTCTTCAGTAAGTAAAGCTGCTTAAGCTCTCACTTTCCTTCGACCTTTGATCCTCTCCTCTCCAGTATACTTCCTGAAACCATCAATGAAGTGAGGTAGAGCTGCAGTTGCAGGAGCCATCAGGGTGTGGCAGAGACTGGTGGCTGCTGAGGTCAGGTGCTCCCCCTGCCCTGAGTGGGAAGGAGTGTTGAAGGCCTGTGCTTTCCTCAGCAGCTTTGAGGAAAAAGAGAGCAGCAGCAACTGTCTTATGGAGGCTCCCCTGTAACGATGCAGGTGCCTCTCTTTTTCTCTCACCTCTTCCTAATAAACCTGTCCTTTGGGGCCTCCTAGGTAGCACAGGAGTTAAAGACAGAGCTGTTAAGCTATCGCCAGCCAGTGCAGCATGAGTGCCATCCTCAGCCAGCCAGGAAGCAACCCATATGGCGCAGCAGACCTCTCAGGTCTCACCCGCTGCTCCCCTCAGCAGTGTATATTTAGTAGATCTGCCTGTTCTGCTCCCCACTCTGTCTCTGGTGAATATTCTCACACACACACACACACACCCGCCACACCTCTGGCTTACACCCCGATTCTTGTATGCATAAATAAGTAAATCATTAAAAAATAAATAAACCTGTCCTTTGAAAATGTAAAAAAAAAATATTATGGATAAAGTACCATCTTGTGACTTGAGGGAAGTTATCCCCGGCAGCGTGGTGAAATCTTTACTAGAACTTATATTTAGCTTTTATAAGTTGTAAAGCTTGAACAGCACCATCATTTGGTGTCTGGTAAAAGGAATAGGACAATTCTACAAGTTCTAGTTTTTAGTTTTGTGTACACTGCAGCAGCAAATAAACTGGAATGACTTGGTGTTTCCTCACAGAATGGTCACCACTTGACCTAGAGATCAAATTATGTTGTGTTAATAATATGTTGATTTAGATAAAGAATCCCCCAACAAATGTTAATATAATGTCAAACCGCAGCTACTGTTCTTGCTTCATTGTTAAACTATCCAAGGGGACCAGAAATTCACCTCTCTGGATTCTGGAAATCAGCTTCTTTAAAAACTGATAAATCCATACAAGAAATTTTAAATGTGTGTTTAAACACACATCCTAATATATGCTCTACATAGACATTCCTTTTGTTAAAAAAAAAAAAAGTCAGGGGCCTCCCTGGTGGTGCGAGGGGCTAAGACGCAACCTATGAAGCTATCCACAGCCTCTGCAGCATGAGTTCGATCCCCTGGCTGGCCAGGGAGCTACCCACATGGCGCAGCAGACCTCTCCTGTCTTGCCTGCTGCTCCCCTCAGCAGTGTAATTCAGTCAATCTGCCTGTTCTGTTACCCACTCTGTCTCTCATCCCCTGCAGCTCTGGCCTGTACCCCAGTTCTTGTATGCATAAATAAATAAATCTTTAAAAAAAGTCAACCAATTCCTTTATTCGTTCGTTAACAAGTAACTGGTTGCTACCAAATAATTCATTTAAAGTGGAAACAATTTCAATTTAGAATGGAAATATCTTCTAAAGAGTGTGGGAGTAATAAAACAACTTCCAAGCTGCTGCACTCCTCTCCTTCCAGAGAACTGATGACATTGGGAATTGACCGATCTACAGTAGATTGTTGCTCAAGGGTACTGAACTTTTAATATCCAGGCAAAAGGAAGTTGATAAAAAGATAAATTCTGGGCCTCCCTGGTGGTGCCAGAGGTTAAGCACAGCACTGTGAAGCTATCTGCAGCCTCTGAAGCACAAGTTCAATCCCCGGCCAGGAAGCAACCCACATAGTGCAGCAGACCTCTCCTGTCTCATCCACTGCTCCCCTCAGTAGTGTATTGCAGGCAGTCTGCTTGTTTTGCTCCCCACTCTGTCTCTGGTGAATTCTCACAACCCCTGCACCTCTGACCTGAAAATAAGTTCTAAAACTAAAAATCTGTAGTCACTGTTGATCTAATCTAAATCAATTTTCAAGCTAGTTTTCAGACCACTTTGACTTCCTTCTGTGGAGCTGCCTCAAGGGTCAAGGCTGGGACCACCTTAACTGTGTGGGTCTACCTTTTCTGCTATTTATTGAATCATGTATCTTTTTTTAAAATTTTCATTTTTAACTTAAAAGATTATGATCTAAATAAAATTTATGCATATTTTTCTAATTTCATGTATATATAAGATTAAGATTATATTAAGATTCCTTAATTCATATGGAAATTATCAGAATTTGCTATTTGGTAGAGTATGTTGGGTATTTGTCAATTAGAAAACACAATACAAAGGAGTTAACTGTAATGTGTATGTGGTGGTCCTATAGTATTGTGATACCTGTATCACTTTCTCCCAAATTTTAAAAATGTTTGATTTAGGGGTATAGACTTACACCTCCTCAGATGTAAGTTACCGTACCTTGTCCACAACAAAATAATCCTCTGCCATAATCCATTGGGCTCCCTCCTCCTCTTATTCCCCACCTTTTCCTTCCCCATTTGGTACCCTCAATTCTAGAGAGATTATAAGGGTTTATTTTTTTTTTCTGTTCCTGTTGTTTCTCTATATTCCACAATAAAATCATTCAGCATGTCTTTCTCCTTATTTTGACTTAATATAATCTCCAGTTCCATCCATGTTGTCCAAAATGGCAAGATTAATTTTTTTTTTTAATTACTGAGTAGTATACCATAGTGTGTATATGCCCCAAGTTCTTAGTCATCTTCTCTGTCCTTGGGTTAAACTTAGAATCTTTTCAGAACTGCTAGGGTAAATAGTATCACAATGCATTTAGGATTGCATGTGACCCTTTAAATTAGTGTATTGTCTTTATTCAGGTAGATACCTAAGAGTAGAATTGCTGAATCAGCAACCCTATTTTTAATATTTTGAAAAACCTCTATACTATTTTCATGGGAACTGGACCAGTCTGAAATCCTACCAACAGTATATGAGAATTCCTTTTTCTCTACACTTCTCCAACTTATTTCTGGTCTTTTTGATAGTTCATTTTCAAACGTGTAAGGTGGTATCTGATGTGGTTTTGATTTGCAGTTTCCTGATAGTGATATCAATTTCTCCTATGTCTCTTGGACATCAAAGAAGTGTTTAGTTCTTCTATTTTGATTGGTTTTTTTTGGTTGAGTTTTATGAGTTCTTTATAGTTATTGGATATTATTAGCCCTTCGTTATATGGATGATGTGCAATTATGTTTCCATTTGGTAAGATCATTTTAATGATAGTTTCTTTTTTTTTTTTTTTTTTTTTTTTTATCATTTTTTTTTTTATTTTTTTTTTTTTTTTTTAATAGAAGCATGTTTTATTTATTTATTTATTTGTTTGTTTGTTTTGTTTATACATGCACTGGGTACAGTCAGAAGCACGGGAGGGTGAGAGAATTCACCAGAGCCAGAGCGGGGAGCAGAGCAGGCAGAAGGACCGAAGTACACTGCTGAGGGGAGCAGCGGGCGGCAGGAGAGGTCTGCGCGCCATGTGGGACCCTCCTCCGGTGGCCGGGGAGCAGCCGGGGATCAAACCGGCGCCGCAGAGGCCGCGGGCAGCTTCGCAACCCAGCGCTCAACCGCTGCGCCACCGGGGAGGCCCTTAATGATAGTTTCTTTTGATGTGCCTAAGTTTTATAGTTTGATATCATTCGTTTATTCTTGCTTTTGTTTCCCTTACTATTGAAGAATTCACACAGACACCACTGAAGCCTATGTTCTGGAGTGTTTTGTCTATATTTTCTCCTGTGCTATGTATTTTATGGTTTCACATCTTTCATACAAAGTCTTTAATCCATTTTGAGTTCATTTATGTGTATGGTATGAAATATTTAATTTCATTCTCTTATATGTTGCCATCCAATTTCCTCAACACTAGTTATTGAAGACTTTCCTTTTT